GTGAATCAAGGAAATAAAACCCAATTTTCTCTAGTTAAGAATGAACTCTCTTTGTACATGAAAGTATTTGGGGGGAGCAATAGAACTAAAGAGAGCTGGCCTTAAAATATATTAAATTTCAGAGATATAATCAAGGAACTCAGACAACAGTTCTAATTTCCTTCTACTGAGAATAATGTATCAAAATGACTACTTTTGTAATAATGACCACTTTTGCAAGTGGTCAAAATTATCCCAGGTACAGTTGTGGTGTCTTCTGCCAGTAGGAGTTGCTGCCCAGTGATCTTGCATCTTTCTAAATCTTGGGCCTGATAATGTCACAAACCCGCTTTAAAAGCCTCCCACTACCCTTGGGAGAAATCTAAACTAAGGGCCTACTCTAAGCCCACCACTTACCACTTTATAGGATCTGCCCCCCAAACCCTTTTGTCTTCATCTACAGCACACCTTCCTACACATCATGCTGATTTTCAGGTGCACCTAACTGCTAGCAGTTATCTCTGATTCTAAACAGAAAAGACAGCAGGTTTAAGACTCAGAGCCTTGCCCAGGTATTTTCTCCACTAAGAAATTTCTTCTTCCCCTACCATACCCTATACTCCCCTCAACAAAGTAAGTTAGTTGTTCCCGCTTTTGTCCTATGAGCAAAAAGTTCTAATAGATTTTAGCTCTAACCTAAAATAGCTCTAACATGGAACAGTGCCCTCTCACCAGTTCTGCTGTCAGGTCCTAGAGGGAGGGAAAAGAATCAACACGTATTATGTACCTGCTGCAAGCCAGGCCCCATACTGATTGCTTTCTGCTCACTATTAACAAGCTAGCCCAGGAGTTGATATATAGCTTCATTCATTGAGAACTTACCAAATGCCTACTACACCCCATGCTCTGGTCCAAGAAGTTAGAATATGCTGTTGAACAGGACAGATATGGTTCCTGCTCTGCTCTCATAGAGAATAGAGACAATCGACAAGCAAATAGAAAAAGTACCAGAGAATGAAAAGGGCTATACAGAAAAAAAAACACAGACATGAGAAAGTATGAAAGGGAGAGAGGTAGGGACACTAGATAGGTAGATCAGAGTAGGCATCTCTGAGGTGACATTTAAACAGATGTAAAAAATGGGGAGCAGATGTACTAAACAGAGGGAACAGCAGGTGCTAAGACCAGCACATTCAATAAGGAGAATTGAGACCAGTGTAGCTGAAGGTCAGGGGACGAAGAGATGAGGCTTAGAGGAAGACAAAGGCCAAACCATAAAGAAGGTCTTTCTTCCTGTGGCTATAAAGGAAGCTGTGTTTTACTCTAAGCACAATGAGAAGTCAATGAAAAGTCTTGAAGCTGAGGGTTGACATGATCTGATGAACATTTGCAAGAGGAGTACACTGCCTACTGTGTAGGGAATGAATTAGAGAGGAGTGCAAGTGGCCAGGAGAGGAAGAACAAAGTTCAGAATTGTAGTCCAGCTGCCACAAGCCAGGATTTGTCCTCAAGAGAGATTTGAAGAAGGCAAAGATATCTATAGGTTTACGGGTCATGAGGATAACTAAAGGTATCAACCAGATCCATGTTACGGGCAGCAGAGTTAGGTTCCAATACCAGCCAAGTATATTTTACTTTCCAAGCTTCAGTATCCTCATCTGAAAAATAGGGCTAACACTCCCACGACATGCCCACCACTCGGGGTTGCTGCAGAGAATTAAATTCTTAGCAATAGCTCTGGGCCAGAGCAGTGTCTAAAATGTGAATATCCTTCCCTTCAAAAGAAAAAATATCTATTTTTTCATTTCCCTAAAAAGGAGGGTGGGAATCTGACCTATTAAGGAAAAAGAGTAGCAGCCATGATCTCACCATTCCAGTCTGCTCAGGTCACATTTTAATGCCTGTAAGAAGGAAAGTCTCACTCAGGAGGTGAGAGAAAAGTGAAAAAAGCCACAACATACCTATGACAGAAAAGTCCCTCTTCTTTCTTCCTACAATTTTATACTCTAGACCAGGACTTGACGAATTCTTGGTGGCATTGGGTATACAGGATCAGGCTAGTGCCTGAAACCTTTTTTTCCTATGAAGAGCTTCTCTATAAAAGTTAGAAGGGGATGGGAGCAGTATAAAGTGGCCTGGAGAAGCATAGGGAAAAAACTCTTGCTTTGCAGTAAAACAGATCTAGGCTGTGTTACTTATTAGCAGCCCCCTAAATTTCAATTTCCTCAACTGTTAAATGGTAACCACCACACTTCTTATAGGGTTTGTCCAAGAAGTGGCAAACATGCCAGAAAAGCAAGGCCAATAAAGAGCTTTGTATTGGGTTGGCTAAAAAATTTGTTTAGTTTTTTCTGTACAAGGGCTCTAGAAGTGCTTAGTTGTCTTTAACTTCATTCAAAACAATTGTTAGATTGTGTTGTGACATCTGTCATATCAGTGTGCATTTAAAAAAACTGATCAAAACTGGTGAATTTTTGTGCAGCCATTTTAATATTGAAGATGGAAAAAGACACACAACATTTTCAGCATAGTGTGCTTTATTATTTCAAGAAAGTAAAAATGCAATTGTAACACAAAAAAACAATTTGTGCAGGTGTTGTGACTGATCAAACATGTCAAAAGTGGTTTGCTAAGTTTCATGGTACTACCAACATTTTGGCCAAATAATTATTTGCTGTGGGGCTATCTTATGCATTGGAAGATGTTTCAAAGCACCTCTGGCCTCTATTCACTAGAAGCCAACAGCAGGAGATGGCTGATATGCAAAATATCCAAATCACTAAAGTTATTGGTGAAAATGAAAAATGTTTCTTTTATTTTACAGAAAAAACTAAACAGACTTTTTGGCCAACCCAATAGTTACTACTCTTGGCCAATATTTGGAAGGTCCAGAATTAGGTTCACAGGTCAAACAGTGAGTAAGGGTAAAAGCCTGGCCCCAAGCCCAGTTCTGACCCAAAAGTACATCCTTCACCACTTGCTTATGCTCTTTACTAAAAAACACCAAGAATTTTCATTCTCATTTTTTTTAACCTGTCTCTTCCACCTCCAACCTAGAATGGGTCAGAGTACATGTCTTAAAATGTATTTGGATATGACCAAACAGAATCCAGTTACAACGGGAGGGCAAAAAAGTGAAGAAGATCACATATCCCTTAATAGTTATCTGATGACTGAAATATGGCTGTAGTAGAAGACTTCAGGCAGCCTGACCTTGGGCAGATCCCCTCTCCCCTTCGAGCCTCCATTTCCTCTACTATAAAATGGGGAAATTATCTCAAACTGCCTACAGCTTGGAATAGTTAAGTGGCAACAATGATTAAAGTACTTAATACTCTCATCACTGTATTGTCGGACTTGGCATGCTCAGGGACTAAATAGGCTGTTTGCCACCAGGCCAATAAAATCATCAACCCATGATGGGCCACATCAGGGGTTCATATCAGAGTCCACACAGAAAATAAGTTGGGATCGGCACGTGGTCCAGTCAGTCCTCCTGAGAAAATACCTCTACAAACACCCTTCAACCTCTATTGCCTGCTCTATAGCACCAGCAAAACAGCTGCCTGGTGGTTGAGAGAGACCCAAGAGAAGGGCATGCTCTATAAGGTTTTCAAGATGCCTGATGATGCAACTGGTGACAGCTGGAAACCTGCACTGGCTCCACCTCCAGCTGCACCTGCTCATTCTCCTCCCCACCTGGAACCTTTCAAAATTCTTTGATTTATTTCAAATCTATGTCTAAATCACTGTTTCATCCTTTTAATTCATCTTTGAAGATGCTGCTGTTGTAGAACTGAGGAGTAAACATCTTCAATAAAAAAAAATCATCTACCTAACATATATTTCCATATGTCCTTGTAGGTATAGAGACTATCATTGAAAGAAAACAAGGAAATGGAAAACAGAATTTAACCAAGTACTCGGGACAGCAGTGAGGAGACCTATTTTAGCAATATGCCCTTTTGTGTCATTTGCTTGTATTATTTTATCATTTTTCTCTAAAACCAAGTTTTAAAGCCCTGTCCAGAGATTTAAGTGTAGTAAAATGGGTTTGGAAAAGTAATCCACAAAGGTTAAGTGGCTTTCTATGGAGACAGGAGGAGTAATTAAGGAATTTTTGTCTGATTTGTAATGTTCTCATTCTTCACAAGTAAAACATATTCGTGTACTACCGCTATAATTAAAAATAAATTAAATGGTACAGCTTAAGAGGGCATTTTGGCAATACCCATGGCTAAAAATACACATGCCCTCTGCCCCCACCAGTTCTGTTATAGGAGTTTAACCTACAGATATAATAGCACACCACTAAAGACTTCTCTCCTCGAAAATTCACTTAAGTACCATTAGCAAAAACTAGAAATGGCAGAAATGTATAACATTAAGATATAGTTAAGATAATGTTGGTACAAGTGTACAATGGACTTTTATGAGAACTTTTAAAAAGAATGATGTGGCTTTATAAGTACAGACATATAAAACTTCCTTTAGAGTTCAGTAAAATATTGTGTATGTTGTTACCATTTTGTTTAGAAAAATAATGAAGAGGGTATAGATATACAGATATGCTTGTCTTTACGTGAGTTTTTCTGAAATGATACACAAGACTGGAACAGTGGTTGACTCCAATGGGAACAAGGGGACTGACGGACAGATGAGTAGAGATCTTTTTGTGACACTTCACCACACCCTTTTTGTAGTCTTTCAGTTTTCTCAATTTGTTCGTGCATTGCAAACACATCTTTATTTAAAAAAAAACACACACAGTAACTTTTCTTTTCTAAGGAAAGTACCTTCCTGCTTGGTTGTGCTGGGAGGTAAAAGCTTCTGAGTCAACAGCCCGTGAGCTCCAGTCCCAAAGCCTCCGTTCTCGTGCCGCCGGGACTTGGAAGACTCACGTCAGCCTCAGGGGACCAGGTGGCCCTATCCATTAAGTAAGGTGATCTCCCTTCCCCGACTGGGGAGCCGGGCCGCTACGCTAGGCAGCGAGCCCGACTCCCGCCCCGTCCCGCGCTCACCGCCAATGATGGTCCGGATGAGGGAGGCGTGCCCAGGGCAGTCGACCAGCGTGACCTGAAGCTCCAACTCGCTGAGATCCGGACTGGCCTCCAGCGCCGGGTCGGGCGCTGGAATCGCTAACCGCAGACGCGCCGGTAGCGGCACCGAGAAGCACGAGAAACCCAAGTCAAGTGTGATGCCACGCTCGCGGCTCTGCGGCTGCTTGTCGAAGGCGGCGGTGGAGGCCTTGGTGCTCAGCGCCCGCGCCAGCGCTGTCTTGCCGCTGTCGATGTGACCCAGCACTCCCACATTCACGTTCACCCGCCGCCCTGCCATGCCACAGCCTCCTAGAACACCCGCCGGTTCGCCCCTCCTGCGGCCGCCGCTGCGGTCCGACCCATTAAGCTGCCCCCTCTGCCACCCGCGCTCCGGGCACGCCCGTTCCGGCCACGAAGTTTCCGTCTTCCAGGCACCTGCAGGCACCACCAGACACACGCAGGAGGTGGGTGTCCCAGGGACCAGACTCGGCAGAGGGCACCGACTACAGGGCTGCTGTTACCTGGCTCCGCCTATCTGAAGCTCGGAGGAGCCCGAGGTTGGGGAATCCCATCCATCCATCTTGCCATTCACCCTATTCTCCTCAACAAGCTTCCAGGCACCATTCATTGCATTGGGAGTGGTAAAGGTCACAAACAAATAGGTGAACTAATGACTGCACCAGACCGGTTCAGAGAGTGAAAAGCCCTCTAGGAAAAATAGAAACAGAGATTTAAAAGGACTGGAACACCAGGGGAAGGGAGGGCAGCTACCTTACAATCAATATATAGGCTTGTTAGAGTTGCTGTTTGAGCTGAGGCTCCAAGGATGAGAAGGAACCAGCCATGGGAAACCCAGGAAAGAGTGTTAGAACATAGGAGAGAATGACTCAGGAATTCTCATCCCCAGAGTCTATAGCCTGCCTTAGGATGGGCTACAAAGCTCCAAATTTTATTTAAAATATTGTTTATGCAAATGTACTGGAGAGAGAGTCCATAAATCTTACTAGATTCTCAAAGTGTCTAGAACCACTAAAAGGGTTATCATCAACAGATTTAAGTGTCTACACTGGCCATGTGGATAACTCAAAGGAGAGAAATTAACAGTGTTTGAGATGTCAGAGGTCAGTAGAGACTGTGAAGAAGTGGACAGCATGTCCGGTCTAAAGGGAGAAGCCATCGCTCAGCTTCAGTCAACTGATAACAGCCAGGACTAATAGCCTAATGTTGCTGATCTTACCATTTTTCAGGAGAAGAGAGTGTTTCTATATGAAATCTGACCTTTGCATGCCAGAAACTAATTTTGATTTAATTTAAACACAACTGTGGCCAAGCACAAAATTTGTTCAATTTTGCCTGGCAGCCAGTTTGCCCTCTGTGATAAGCCAGGCAATGTTCTGATGTAGTCAAGCCTGCAGTAAGTGCTCCCTGATGCTTCCTGTGGTCCAAGACTTGCATTAGGAGAAGCGTTCCAGAGATGAGCAGACACAATCCAGTCCATCCTGCAGCACAGGAATGAGAAGGGCACATGCTGAGATAGGTATGAGTCATGTGCTGCCACTTGACAAGAGGCTTGTGCAGCATAAGATGAAGACTTAAGGGGGAGATTTGGGGAAGGGACACTTATGTTTTTTAGGCACATGGCACTCAACTGATGAAAAGTTGCTGCTAAGTACATATATACACAATACTAACAACAGTCCTACCTGGCTGGTATTCCCATCTTACAGAGGAGGAAAGTGTCCCAGAGAAAGGCATTAAATCAATATATATTGAGTAGCTCTGTGCTAGGCATTGCACTAGAAGCACTGCACATCAAAAAGCCAGATATATTCTCTGCTCTCCTTCTCTAAAGGAGGTAACAAACAAGTCAATGTAATCACATAAAGGAAGCCGATAGGAAAAAGTAGCCCAGACTTGGTGGTGAGGATGTGTCAAGGGAGACCTCTCAGAGGAAAAAACTTGTAAGTTAAGTCCTGAGCAAGGGAAGGACAGAATCTGGCTAGTGTGTACCAAGCCATTTTCCTTTTTCACTGGGGAATTCAGCTAGACTGCATGTCTCAGACTCTCTTGCAGTTAGCAAGGCCATTAACTGCATTCTGACCCATGGAAACTGGGCAGAAATGATATTGGCTACCTCCAGGCATTTGTTGGGCAATCTTCCATACTCTTTGCCCATCTGCTGGCTTAATGGTGAAAACTCCAGAGGCCAGAGAAGGGCAGAGTCTCTAGAGGAAGGGAATCTGGGTTCCCATAAAGTTTTGAAGCAGAGGGACATAAAGTTGCATCCCATGCCCAACCTGCCTACCTGCATAGGTCTGTGGTGGGGTGACAAATAATTTTTTTCTTTAAGCCACTGAAACCTGGGGCTGTAGGTTGTAGCATTACCATAAAACAGTCAGTTGGAGAATGGAGGACTCCCTCCCATTGGCCAAGATGTCAGCAGGGGGAGGCTCTTATACCGAGTGCAGAAAGTTAGAAATATCAATGGATAGGGCCCCAAGAATGCCAAAAGCTAGCAAAATAATTGAACAGAAAAAAGTCCCCGTACTCTGGTACCAGATTGGGGGTGTGACCAGGGGAAAGCAGGCACATGTGCCATAGAAGTCAAAATGACACAGGAGGAGGTACTAGACCAAAGAGGCCTGTCAGTCTAGCCTGGAGAAAGAAGGGATTGGTTGGGAGGTGGACCCACCTAAAGCATGCAAAAGATCAGGAAGTTAATTGGTCATTTTGGGGGAGCCCCCAGTCCATCCCAAGCTCAAACTAATATAATCTCATGGTAACGAAGATGTTCTCCTGCCCACCTGGTGTTGTACTTGCCTGTGAGTTCATGTGCTCTCTCCCCCAGGAGCATGTGATCATATGGCCCTAGTCATGTGATTGTATGGCCCATGGTTGTGTGGGCTCCCCACTCAGGCTCCAGGAGGGAGCCTGAAATGAACGGCAACCAGGAACAAGCTAAGCTATCTGGATGGGGACTAAGGCTGCTTAGCAGCTGCCTACAGGCTCTGAAGAACTGTACTTTAAAATGGAGCAGGAACTCGAGACACTGGCTTTTGTCTTGGCCTTGCTGAGGACATTGATGGAGTTTTTCATGGCAGAAAGATGAGATGGTCTTTCAGGCAGGAGTCCACCATTCCCCAAGATTGTGCAGCACCTGAATAAAATCTCTTTCCCTTTGCACCAGTACCTGACTCACGAGTTTGGCTTTTGTGGTGCCTAGCAGCCAAACCTCCATTTTATTCAGTTACAGTACCAGTTAACATGATCTGTTATAACTAAGAGCTTCCCAGTGGAGGGACTGGAATTAACCTATGTCTTTATGTCTTCAACTTTAATGACCCTCCCTCCAGAATGGCTCCAAGACTGGTCCTACCCCACCAGAAGCTTGGAGCATGAGACCCATAGGGAGTCCAATGCTGTATCTAAAGGGTCAAGGAGATGGAAGCTCTGGGGTTGTCTGAAATTCAGCCAGATTCAGACTATATCCCTGGAGTCAACTGAACAGCAGCAAGAAATTGGATGGAACTGGAAGATGCTGAGGCTTCTGTGCCATGGGCAGCCTCCCCCCACCCTTGTGTCTCCATTTCCCCATCTTGCAAATAGGAAACAATAAAAACATGTCTTCCATTTTTAAAAATTTAGTGGTAAAAGCAGTAGACCTTTTTTTTAATCTTCACCTGGAGTTATGTTTGTTGACTTAGAGAGAGAGATGTTGATGTGAGAAACATCGATTGCTTGCCTCCTATACACAGCCCAACCAGGGATGGAACCCACAGCCAGGTAAGTGCCCTGACCAAAAATCGAACCCACAACCTTTTGGTGTAAGAAATGATGGCTCCAACCACCTGAGTCACCCCATCAGGGCTAGACCTTTTTTGAGGGAGGCTTAGTGAATAGGTAATAGGAGGCACTGTGTACCTTTGAAGAATATTTCCCACTGACTGGACTTGGTGATGAATTGGAGGTGCAATGAGGGAGAAGGGAGTATCTGGGATTATCCCTGTTTACACCTTTAGACATTCATTCCTTCATTTACTCAATCATCCAACCAATATTAATTGAGTAACTGCTCTGTGGCAGATATGCTTCTTGCCAGGGTACAACAGTGACTGAGACAAGGAAATGAAGGGTTTGAAAATGACTGGTGGAGGGGAGCACACTCATCAACAAAGAGGCATTTGAGCTGACAAAGACATAATGAGAAGGTCTAGCCAGGCACAGAACTGAGGGAAACTGAGGAAAGAATGTGCAGGAGAGAGGGAATGGTGAGGAGAACCCAAGCAGCAAAAAACTGGGCCACGTGGCATGGTGGTCAGATGGGAGGAGAAACTGCAAGAAAACCTTACTCTGAAAATGTCTTTGCTGGTGTGATTTTAGCCTGACAGTGTAGCCTTCTAGACCCAGGGTGTCAAACTCATTTTCACTGGGGAGCCACAATAGCCTTGCGGTTGCTTTCAAAGGGCTGAATGTAATTTTAGGGCTGTATAAATGTAACTACTCCTTAACTAGAGGCAAGGAGCTCACCCTGCCACCGGGTAGAAACAAGGTGCTGGGCCAGATAAAACAAGGTGGAGGGCCAGATTCAGCCCGTGGGACCTGTGTTTGCCACCTGTGTTCTAGACCATCAAAGGCAGAAGCTCTGAAGGGCATGTCAGAGGCTGTGATGTTGTACTTTATTTAAAAAAAAAAAATATATATATATATATATATATTTGGTCTTCATCCCTGTTTCTGGCACAGAGTTCCAAAAATCCTTGGTTTTTCTTGTGAGGAAAGCAGTAAAGATGTCTTTTGTATGTTAATGAAACTTTGGGGGGGGGGTCCTCTTTGTTTTTGTTTTTTTTTTTCAAGTACAGTTAACTCCATTTTCCCTTCACCATGACCTCTAGGTCCATCCATGCTGTCATGAAGTTTAGGATCTCCTTCTTTCTTTCTTTCTGCTGCATAGTATTCCATCATGTAAATGTACCATAGTTTCTAATCTGCTCATTTACTGGTGGGTACTTAGGTTGCTTCCAACACTTGGCTATTGTAAATTGTGCTGCTATGAACATTGGGGTGCATAGGTTCTTTTGAACTTGTGTTTCAGGATTCTCAGGGTATAATCCCAGCAGTGGTATTGCTATGTCAAAAGTCAGTTCCATTTTTAGTTTTCTGAGGAAATTCCATACTGTTTGCCACAGTAGCTGCAGCAGTCTGCATTCCCAACAATAGTGTACTAGGTTCCCTTTTCTCTACATCCTCTCCAACACTTGTTGTTTGTTGCTTTGTTTATGATGGCCATTCTGACCAGTGTGAAGTGGTATCTCATTGTGGTTTTAATTTGCATCTCTCTGATCGCTAGGGATGCTGAGCATCCTTTCATAGGTCTCTGGGCCCTCTGTA